ATATATATATATATATATATATATATATATATATATATATATATATATATATATATTTATATATATATATATATAGATGAAGCCCTTCTACCAGCCCACGCTGGCAGAAGGGGTGCGTGCGCTACGGACTTGGATAGGTATAAGGTGGTACTTCAATCCGAAGTGCTCTGATCTGGGCAGGATAGTAGCGAGAGAATCAGGAGGGATAAGGCGACTGCACCGTTGGTGTGCCTTTATGCTCCTGATGATCGATGGTTCAAAGAGATGGTTCCGCTTCCCTCGACTGATCCGATGGTCATATACCCGAAGGAAGGTGTCGTCCTAAGTCATGGGTAGGATTCTATGCCGGCGCCCAATTTCGTGACCTTAGTATGCCACATGAGTCCCTACAGACCGCACGTAAGCTGCGTAAGACTTTTGGGGGAAGTTGGAAGCCGAATGACCCCACTTTGAGAAGTTAGCTGCGGCGGCAGGGGCTCTCCTGCGCGCCTAGTGATGGATGCGGACAAGAAGTTCCAGAACAGAGACGTGGCGACATTATGTGAACGCCGTAACATTGAGCCGCATTGGATCACAGTGGATCGTCATCAGAGTAATGGGCGCCAGAGACACTCCTCATGACGATGAAGGATTGGCTTCGCAGAGAGATCGAGGCAGCGGATAATTCTCCGCATGCGTGGCTCCACTTGGTATATGAGATGGAGTGCATTTACAACGCCACGCGCAACTCAGTCACGGGGTTCTCGCCATATTTCTACATGATAGGCAGGGACTTCAACGGTCAGAAGCGCTTAGAGCTGCAGGACAGATTACTGTCCTTGCTGGAGTCTGAGAAGGGTACGGAAGCCATGGTCCGTGACGCTGTAGCGGCTGTTCATGATCGACGAGCTCAGCTGGAACAACAGAGCCGCGCCAATATCAGACGCGAGGACGTACCATTGTTGCCGGTCGGTTCTCAGGTTTGATATCAGCTGCGTGGCAAGTCGCATGATTTGTCTGCACGGTGGGGTGGTCCGGCCAAGGTGGTGTCAGTACAGGCACCACTTACGCACGTGGTAGAAATGGCCGACGGTACACACTCATGTGGGACACAGCTCTCGAGAAAAGCGAATGCTCGGACTACGGTCAGGTACAGGCAGGCCGACTGGTCCCTTCGAGGATTGGTTGCTATATCATTCACCGTTTTGTGACTCCAAGGATGGTTACTAGCAAGCGATTGGTTATTGCCTGAGGCGTGCAAAGAAGGCACGCATATGGTCCACCGCTATGAGCTCGGTCTGGGGTCGGCGGCAAATGTGGTGTGATGAAGCGGATTTGGAGTGTTACGTACCGCTGGTACCTGGATCTGGCACTAAATATGTGCTTCCTACGCAGTATAATGGACTCTTGAAGCGCATGTTCCCGGATAAGGATAAGCAGACACATTTCAAACAGCAGGTTGAGAAGTGTTTTGCTTTCGTACAGTCGGCGAAGTACCGTGGTGGACGCATTCGAGTGTGGGGTGAGCTACAGTTGTCCGAGAATGGAGTTGAGCTGCCGGCACGACGTTAGTTCTGGTAGAAAATTATCCAGGATGGAAGTAGAAGGACCGAGCTCCACCTCCCACGAGGGGTTGGGGAGATAGTCTCTCTTGCATGTACACACGAGGTGTACATCGGTAAACAGTTTTTTCTTTTCTCTTTTTTTAGACGTCTACGGAGCAGAGGCCGCTAGGCGGCGGTGCTCAGAAGTGGATACGGTGGCAGACATGACGGTCGTGTGGCATGCAACCGTAGCGGATATTGTGATTATATATATAT